ATCGCAGAATATTATAAAAAAACGAGGCGTTTCGATCTGCAAAGGTATGGTACTTTGCGAGTATGTCAATTAAGCAAATTTTGCCATTTAAAATTTTAAAATTTTGCATTTTAAAAATTATTTCTCACTTATGTAACGTATATTGGAATAATTAGGGAAATTTAATGATATTCCTATTCTATCTATTGCTATTTATTGCTAAAATAATAAATTTCAATTCAAACTCATGGCACCTTTTAAATAAAATCTTCATAATTTCCAAATTTTGTATACGGCTAAGTCATATGAAAATGATCAAATCATTATGATTTTGCATATGCCAACACAAATTATACTTATACGTATAAGTAAGATTTCATTAATTTAATCATTAATTAATTGAAAATTATAATTATATTTGTTAACATTTTATTTTGCATATTATACATAAAATAGAATAAATTAAAATAGAAACCTCAACTCATTTAATTAAATTTTTATTCAAATTTAATTTATCATTAAATTATTTCGCCCAATAAAATATTCAACAACCAATTTTATCCTTTCTATTCTTCTCACATCTTTTTTATACAATATCTACATATTGCCGCATATAATTTAGAAATTTAGCATAAAATATAATATATTGTGTTTGAGCTAAAGATTCCCAAAAAAAAAAAAAAATTCTAAAATTAAATTTAATTAAATCATCAAAAATTATACAATATCGTTTATATTAAGCAACCACACTTAAAAAAAAAACTCCTACCAACAACTCCTTTTTCCTATATCCTTTTTAATTTCTTCGTCATGTATTTTATTTTTGCTCGTTTTACTTTTATGGTTTCATATATAATGAACTTTCAAATTGGTATTATGAAAGACCTCAAAAAAATAATCAAATTACATTAATTTTGGGTAGAAGATTTTGGTGTTTGGTTAGTCATAAAATATTCTTTAAATGCAAATGAATCTAATAATGTTATTTATGATGTTTCATTGAACTTAAACTAACGTTACACAAATCGTATAATCTTATTGAATTTTTAAAGTTTCTAGGATTAAACACATTCTTATATTAATGATAGCCATTTACGATGTTAATTAAATCAATTTTTAAGGACTATAGATATTCTTATTAGATAATTAAAATCTAAAGGAATCTTATCAAAATCTCTTTTAAGTCTTTGGACATTAAAATTTTACGCATATTAATTTAGAATTATTTATATACGAAATTGTATGTTGAATTAAGTGAAAATGTTTATTTTAATTACGTTATGCTTCAAATATATAGTAATACAAAAATAAATTAAGAATAATATTAAATAAATGTTCTAATAATGTATGGGAGATCTAGCCCAAATTGAATAAATTTTAATTAAGTAAGTTTTTTATTATGATATTAACATTTTTACATGGTGGACAACACTATCTATACAATCCATTGTATATATGAACCATCTAACATTATAATTAATTAATATTGAATTTTTAATTAATAAATGTATATAGGGTCAATAACACAATTCTCGAATATTATGACTAAGATATTGGAGTAGGAGTACAAAAGTCATCGAATCATAGTTCTATATATAAATTTTCAATTGTTGAAAGTGGGATTGGTTTCGAAAATTACAAGTATGACAGAATTTCGTATTTTATAAAAAAAAAACGTAAACTTCGACAATGTATCACGTTTCGCAATGTATATTATAAAAATTTTACAATAGCACGCGTTCCTAATTGCAAAAAGAAATCGTTTTCGAAACTTAAAGCAAATTGTGTATCTTTATTAGTGCTTGACAATGCACTGTTATTATATTTAGTTTTGTATTTATAGCTTAAAGGCAGTTTCATAATTTTGTTTTTGGCAATACGGAATACTTGCTGCCCTACGTACGGAATTTTTTTTTTAAATTTATACACACAGAGGAATCGCAATTGTATTCTAAAACAGACCTAAACTCATTGAAATCTGGGTCGGGATTGTGTTTGAAATTTAAGAAAATATAAATTCCAGCTCGTAAAATTTTCATATCAATTTTTTGATAAGCGGCTTATCGTAACTGTTATATACATATAAAAAACATGAAATGTTATTCCTCATTATGGGTACGCACAATATAATGCAAAATCATGATAGATGAGCCATTAGAATATTTAAATTATTTTAATGTAAATCAGTTAATTAAATTCAAAACTATATATAAAATAAATTTGGGTCAAACCAATGGTTTGTATAGTAGCACTTTTCCCTTCAACAATATTAGTAAAAATACTGCTTTAAATACAGTCTATGTATACCTATCACACTATTAAAATTATTTTCATTCATATATAAAACTATTTATAGCATTGCATATATTTAGGATGAACGATCTATTCAGTCTTTGAAATAAAGAAAAAATTAATACAAAGTGGGGTCAACATAACGCTCGATTTTAAAAGTTAATTGTGTGAGTTAAGAAAAATAATTATATTTTTTAATGTCATGGAATTTACCGTTAGCTTTTTGTGTTATAGAAATTTGAAAAAGCTTGCGATTTCGTAAATATAAGGCGTCAAAAATTCAAATTTTAGAAATTGTAAGAGGCGATAACTTGAGAGGACGTGGAGACGGAAAAAAATTTTCTTCTAACAAAATGAACTATTTTTTAATGTCTAAAAGCCCCTAAAATTTCAAGCTTCTACAGGCTGGGGTTTAGAAGTAAAACGAAATCAAAAATTTGAAAAAAGACTTTATATAACATTAAGTTTGAACGGCCATTTTGTTTTTCTAAAGTTTAACTATAGTACACCGCGCCAGTGGAAGGAAGCCGCTGCCTTTCTGCGTTTGCAAAATTTAAAAAATGCTTATGGTTTCATTGCAACAAATAGTTAAAAAAGGCCATTTTTAGGGTTTTGGGGGGGTATAACTTCTAGAGGGGGAGAGATAGTTAAAAATTTTTTCTACGGAAATAAGTTTCTAGTAAAAATCTATATACGTACAAAATTTCAGCTTTCTATCTTCAAAGGTGTAGAAGTTTTGTAAACAGACACACGGAGGGACGGACGTACGGACAGAGTGAAACTAATAAGCACTTTTTTTCAAAAATTTTTTGGAAAAGTGCTAATGATTTGCAACAAATTAAAGATAAAATTTAATTATATTTTTAATTATACACGCAAATCATAAACATTTTTTTTATGATTCGTCTTAAAATTTCAAAAACAAATTAATTATATGCCGCATTTAAAATATCAAAACACGTGCTCTCTACTTATATAAAACATAAACCTAAATTAACTTATAATAAGAATTAAAAATCCTTTTTCATTGTTTGCATTAAAGTTAGAGTGTCTGAGAATACTTCAGTAATCAAAGTTTCTGCCTATATATACGAAAGTCTCCTAAAAAATTCATAAGAATTTTCTTATCGTATATTTTAATTAAAATTTATTTTTATGGTTTTTTTTCTGGTGATAATTATTTTATTACATTGCTATTAAATATATAACAGTCTAAAATAGATAACTAAAACAAAAAAATTAAATTCCATTATCCTTTTAATAAAATTTAATCGTTTAACGCAATAATAAGCAGCAAAATGCCTATATAATCTTATAACCTTTATCTAACGTTACGAATCTTTTTATAATAAAATATTTTAATTGCGGGAAATTGTTATAATTTTTTTTTAATTATGTATATATAACGAAATCGGAAAGAAATATTAAAATTAAATGCTATGAATTTGAAATTAGAAATAGAAATTTTGAGTACACCGATGGATTTATGAATACCTAAATCTATTATATCTTAATGTAATAAGTAAGTTCTTGTTGACCTATTCAACACTGTGCTCGAAAAAAACTTAATAAATTTTAATACCTACTTTTGATTAAATTTTACACAATGTTAAATGTTCTGTAACAGTTTTCATTATATAACTAAGCTATAACTCTTTGAAAATTATAGTGATAGTCATACAGTTTAGAAGAATGGCTCCAAATGGTCTTTTATAGCAACTATCACCTTAATCGTAACCTGTAGCACTAAAAGTCGTTAACTATTACAATTTTGTTTTCGAAATTCTATATGCATATTTATAATATAAAATATTGATTTTCAGGTTTCAAAGATAGTGCAGCCATTGCAGACCGCGAATCTACAAACAAAATTTATCATAGCTTAAAAATCTATACTACATACATTAGCTCGGTTTAAAAGTCGCTGTATATAACTGGAATTCACAATTGAACTACATTTTTCTAGCTATTTTTGGTATTTATGAAGAAATTCTCTCAAAATCTTAGTTATAGAGCCGTTTCCACGTAAGTATTTAATTATACAACATAACTTAAAAATAATATATTTATGTATATTGAAAATGCTTAATTTAAAATTTTAAACAATTCGAAATTTTAACGAAAGTAGATATAGAGTTGACCGCGTCAACTTTGTGATACCCATTCACATGCTAAGAGTTGTATTGTAATTGTCACACTGTTTTACTCGACCTAATTATTCTGCCACATAAATTCTTCAGTTACCATATAAATTTGTTTTAGCAAAGTATTTTCTGTATAGATTCTATAATATATGAGCAAATGACTGTCGAAGTTGTATGGCAGCCATGAAATTTCAACGATATAACAGGGTTAATAATGTATTTGCGAGATTTCGATATTGTAGCATCGGTAATTTCTAAGATAAGGCCATATAACTTTTAAAGTTGTAGGGGAGCTACCCGAACCACTGCCCCAATTACATCCAATTTAAATATCATTTGCGGAAATTTTGTGAGCTAAGCTCAATTAGTTCTTGAGTTATCATTGGGACGGACGGACAGACATTGTTAAATCGACTCAAAATTCGACGTTAATCAAAAACGTACACTTATATATAACATTATTTCTTAGCGTTACAAATGGTAAGGCAAATTTAGTATACTCTTAGAACATACGTTTGTACGGGTATAAAAACTAAAACTTCCACCTTGATTTTATAAATTTTTCATTTTAATGTTATTACTTACTTGAATTTCAATATCCGATACTTCAACACGATAATTCAAAATATCATGTAACATTAATGATGTTTGTACAATTAAAGCCAAAATTGGTATAAATGGTAATATTATCATCTGGAAAATATTAAAAAAATAAAATTAATTAATTCAAATTTTTTTAAATTCCTTGACTTCTAAAATGCTATAATACAATATTAATACACAATTCAGCTTATAACTGTGAATTGCTGAATTGTGTAATAATACGATATTACTGTATTTTGGAAGTTAAGAATTTCAAAAACAATCGTAATATTTAAAATAAATCTTCCTTCCTTACAATTTTACAACATTCATACAATTAATAACTTAATTCCTAACATAATGTGCTGCTATTAATTAAAGTTCAAAAGATTATTATACAATATTTTCTTTATAGAAGATTACAATAAAGTTAACCAATTAATTTATTAAGTTGCACGTAATTTCATTTACATAAACCTTTACTTACTTAACAAAAAAACAATATCCATTTTGAACAAAGTAATTTTTTTTTTGTAAGGTCCTTAACCTTGACAAACAATTTCTTATGTTATTTTTAATACCATCCCAATCGCATCCCTATTTCAATGTTAAAATCCTAATCATACGAATATAATTTACAATATGAACACCATTTTACATTGTTATACTCGTATACTCGTATACAAAAAAAAAAAAAAAACAAATTAAATCAAGTTCAAGAACATTGTTGCCAGTTTGACGATAATAATTTTAAAAGATTAAGACAAATAGTTGTGTGACAAAAACAATTTTAAAACAATATTTTTACTTTGCATAATTTTACTCCCCTTTCTTTATATAAATTATTTATTTCTTATTATACAATAAATTCATTACATATATACATGCATATTGCGGTATAGCTTTTATATTATGCTTTAAAATAACAACCGCTTAAAATATCCTTAATGAATATTCATTTTTTCTCTTAAAAATAATTTCAAAGAATGAAAATATTATAAAATATTTTTCTTACAATGTAAAGATGCTTGTTAACATAATAAGATACGAGTACTAAGTAGATGTAAAACGTGTAAAAAAATTGTTATTATTATTATGTAAAACAAAAAGAAAACATAAAATTTAACCAACTTTATTTATTTAAACCAATGTTAGTAGCAGTTTTCCCTTGAACAAATGGTAATACCGCTCTTAAAAGCAATTTGTTTCATTCATATTCCAAAATATTTCAAATGATTGCATACATTTAGGCAGAGACAAAAGGAAATGAGGCATTAACACAACGGTCGAATTCAAGAATTAATTGCGTGAGTTATGTCAAATAATTATATTTTTTGATTAAATAGGATTTACGGTTAGCTTTCGGCATTTATAAAAATGTTAAAAATGCCTGCAGTTTCGGAAATATAGGGAGCCGAAAATTCAAAATTCACAAATTTTAAGAGCCGATAACTTGAGAATGGATGGAGAAAATTTTTTCTACTAAATTTCTAGTAAAGATCTAATATTTATATGTAAAATTCCAGTTTTCTATCTTAAAGGATGTAAAAGTTTTGTAAACAGATTAACGACCGGTCGGACAAACGGATAGAGTGAAACACTTTTAATTTTTTTTTTGGAAAAATGCTAAAAAAGAGAAAGAAGCTAAAAATCTTAAATTTTTCGAATAGATTTAAGTTACAAATACACAAGCACATATCTAATAGATTTGTATAACTAAAAACGAACTATTTTAAAAAAGAAAGTTATTCATTATATTAAAAAAAAACACTACTTTGTTTTTCATTCAAAATTTAAAAAAGTTTTTTAAAGCTTTTCTTAAGAATATTTTTGTTGCTTCATAAAAATTCAAACTGAAAAAGTAAAATGATTTTTTTTAACATACAACAACACTAAATTTGCAATGGCAACACTGCTACATTTAAGACACCGGTTCTCTATAAGTATACTATTACTTATGAGAAGTACAATATTTTCTGTTGCTATTTTATATTTTTAATGCTTCGCCAATGAAAAATGTGGAATATTTCAACTATTTCGAAAAAATCATATCCACATTGGCAGGTTCTAAGGAAAACATCAACAAGAGGAGCATTTATTGTAGACTGTGAACGATTTAGAGATCATCAAAAATAACTAGAAAATTTAAACTGGCTGTATTCAATTCTATACGGCCCAGAAACATGGTTAGGCCAGAAAAAGAGAACCAATAAATGTTAGGTTTTCGGAAATGGATGTTTGAGGACTATCTGAGCAAAGATACGTATATTGCTGAAATTCAGCTCTTCTCTTTTCGGGACTTTGTAATATAATTAAAATTATAATTAAAAATTAAATTTTTTGATCACATATCTTTTTATCAATAATTTCAAGCTAATCTCGAGAATTAGTCTTGGCCATATATTTTATTAAAAAATTTTAAAAATGACCCTGATGTACATTAATTTTATTATTTTGAATGCATTAAAAAAATACCTTCCTTTTTTTAATTTTAAAAAACAAGTCTGTGACACAAAATTTTCAATTTTTCATAATATTTTTGTTAAAATTTTTTAATTAAATTAAAATAGTTTCATATTACATACAATTAAATTATATTGGAAAATTTGAAAAGTTTAATTATAAGTTATAACAAACGCAGTTAATTTTATTGACACAAACACCTTTATCGTATCCTCTAACACGGCATTGAGGTACACAAATATTCTTACACTCAATTTTTTCTGTAATACGGTTTCCATTGGTATCACTAATATCGAGAAATATATTCACTTCCTCATCTGTTAAATTATCAATAATTTCTTCAAGTTGAACTCAACAAGTACAATTGGCAGCTATAACAATTAAAAATCCCAATAATACTAAGAAAGTGTTGAATGTTTAGCCCTATTTGTACTTCAGAGGAACACATACTTTTTTTATCTTAATGAAAATTTCTTCATGCAACTGCAGAACAGATGGATGACGTAATCAAAGGAACGAGTTAAAGGCAGAAAAATTCATTAAAAAAAATTTTTCTCCTCGAACTGGACTCGAACCAGTGACCTACCGCTTTCTAGGCAGACGCTCTACCAACTGAAAACTACAATACAAAGGGTGATTCAGTAATCAGAATCGGTACATATACCATCGTTTAGGCCATCAAAAATGAATAAAATTTTTCTTCAAAACCAGCTCTTTCAAAAAGTGTTTATTTGATGCTTCTATCTTTTACGGAAATTAAGAATCAAAAAACGTGAACAAATAGAAATTTCGTGAAAATATTCGTTAAAATCCCTGTATTTACCTCGTAAAGATTTGACATCTAGTTCTGGACAAAAAATTTACCCATTTTTTGTGCCCTAAACAACGGTAGTTATATGTTAAGGCGTTGATTACTGAATTACCCTGTATATACATATACACATCCGAGTGTATCAATTCTATTTGATTACATAAAAACATTTATATATGTAAAAGAAATTTCACTTATTAATATTAAATTTAAACGTTCAGACAGAATTGGGGACAACAAAAAACGTGCAATCAGGTGAAATATTGTAAATAAAATAAGAATTTAAAAAAATAAACACAAGTGTTCCCATTCTTTTATAAAATAAAATTGTTTCATCAAGTGCCAAACAAAAAATCTATTGATTTTATATATTAAATTGAGAAAAACACAAGATCATTATACTCAAAATCAAAATTAAAAATTAAATTCGAATACATATGCAATAAATGTACTTATGGTCTAATACAAAATGTCCCCAATGTTTATTAAAAAATATTACTTTTAACACTAAACTTAAGTGGTTAAGAAACCAGATCAAAAATCAATATCAATTTTAATATGTATAAATATCTTCAGGCCTCCGAATTTGAATGCCGTACAATTCGAAACCATTAAAAAATTTTCTTTGAGTGATGCAATCAGATTTTTCCTTATTTATATATTTAAAATTTATTATTCGGTAAACGCTATATTTTGACATGAAAAACTTTTACCTTTAACTATTAGTTAATTTTTTAGTGCCACATACAAAATTCAAACTAAAAAAGTAAAATAAGTTTTTAATTAACATGCAACAACATAAAATTTGCACTAGCAATGCGGCTACATTTAAAACTCCTATTGGAATACCTGTTTGGAATAACAACACTACAATACAGTGGTAATCAAGTATTATGACTTTATAGATGTACGATATACTCTGAAAGTGCAAGTTTAAAAATTTAAGCTGGAGAAATCTTTCCATTTTCAATACAGTATTAATTACAATTCAAAACATTTTCTCAATTGGGAATTGATTAAATTGCATTTTTCTATTATGAAATTTATTTACTTTATTATTAAATTTGCTTATTATTATTAAATTACGAAGACTCTCAGAAATACTGAATTGCTCCCACGAAAATTGCTCCCATTTTCTTAAACATTCATTTTAATTTAAACTCTCTCCGTTCTCCAAAAGAGTGTACTAACAAAGCTTATTGTAATTTATTAGGAAAAAGATTTTAAAATACTAAACAATAAATTTTTTTTGTATAATACTTTTAAACTGTTTTTATCCGTCTACCCATTAAATAAAATTTATTTTTGAGATTATCGATATGAAAATTTTTCATAAATTCATAAACAAAACCATTTACTCATTTTTACTATCAAAGCTTAAAGAAAAAAAAATTTCAAAAGAAAATTTTTCAAGTTTCATTAAACAATTTTAAAAAAATTGAAAAAAGCAAAAAGTAAAATACTAAAAATAAAAGAAAAATTATTTCTTAAAAAAAAACAAAATACCATTTGTAGTCTAGACATAAAATAAAATCTGAATTTTTTTTTTGCTCTTTAAAAAATCTTTATGAATATTTAATATAGACCAGGAGTTCAACCGAAATGAAAGATAAACAAAAAAACCGCCTTATAACGATTATAATTCAATTTATTACAATTAATAATGGTCAATAACTTTTTTATAACAAGATTTTTATAAATAGGGAAAAAATCTCTTTTTAATTGGATTAGTATTGATGCTAAGTAGGTATTTAAGTATATACCCTAGATATTTCATTTTAAAAACAATATCGTGAATATTGTTTACTAAAACTATATTATTCAAAAATATTGCATA